GAAAGAAAGAAAGAAAGAAAGAAAGAAAGAAAGAAAGAAATGTAACAACAAAAAGAAAACTTTTTAAAAAAGAAGGGACCCCTCTGTCCAGTCTTTATCTTTGGGGCTATTGTTTGTAATGTACCTTGACATAGTGACCAGTACTCTATCATTCTGCTTTCATAGATTCTCTTGATGTTTCTCTTCTTCCTTTGGTTGGATACTTTAATCTCTGATCTAAGATCTGATACATTTCCTGTAGATTCACCAGGCACACATCACACTGCATTATATTTCTTATGTGTCTCTCTGTTCCTTTAGACCTTGGGAGCTATATTTCAGGGATCATGGATTGCTTTTTTTTTTTTTTGTCTTTTTGAAACAAGGTCTCCCTGTAGTCCCAGCTGACCTGAACTCATTATGTAGACCAGGCTGGCTTTGAACTCACAAAGATCTGCCTGCCTCTGCCTCCCAAGTGCTGGGACTAAAAGCGTGTGCCACCACGTCCGGGCAATGGATTGCTTTTTTATTTCTGGTCTCTAGCGTAGGATCTGGGTGAATAAATGCTGGTTGAGTGGAGAAACTGATTCACACAGTTGCAAGATACATTCAATTGAAAATTTAAAAATTCTTTTAACTTTTTATTTTGCAATAATTATAGACTGTCAGGGCATAGAGCATTTCATTGTTCAAACATTCACACATTATAGTTTGACCCTACAGCAATGATGGGGAGAAGCAAGTGTCATCAATCTCATTGTACTCAGGCATGGTGGCGCACGCCTGTAGTCCCAGCACTTGGGAGGCAGAGGCAGGCAGATCTCTGTGAGTTCAAGGCCAGCCTGGTTTACATAGTGAGTTCCAGGACAGCTGGGGCTACAGGGAGACCCTGCTTCAAAAAGACAAAAAAAATAAAATAAAATAAAAAAAATAAAAGTACTGGAGAATTTCCTTCTGATTGCTGATGCTGAGGCAGTCTGCCAGCTTTCCCATCAAACAGCTGATTGATGTTTTTATAATGTG